GCTTCGTGATTTGCAAGTTAGAGCAGCACTTAATTGGTGAAAAGGTGAACGCAAGCATACCAAGAACTTTGTTTTCACTCACGCCTGTCGTCTTTTCACAGAGCAGTTTCATTAACGTAGATGTTGAAAGACAAAGACTGGAATGAAAATCCTTTTCACAAGGATTCCCTTTTTACTAGAATAAATTATGGGTGCACATAACATAACATACACATATAAATCAGGCCTGAGTAAAGATATACACTTATAAGTACGCATTTTCATCCTCTAACCGCCCTTTAAAGCACACTGTTTTACTTTAGAAAGTGGAAACATTTAGATAGTCATGGGAAGAAAAAAAATTCAACTTTACGTTAGCACGCTTTTTTTTAAGTTTTGGTTAATGTTACTTAAATGTTTAAGGGCTTGAGTGCACTTGCAAACTGAGTGCTTAGAGAGTGGAGTGGCCTAAACTGTATCTGAAAATAGATGTATTTACAAATAAATATAGGATGTTTTGAAAAACTGGACCTTGTAGATCAAGAGTAACATTTTCAGAAAGCTCATCAGTTTTTAAATCATTTATGTCCCATCTTTTAGTGAGACTGAAGAACTTAGGATCCTATACTTCACTGAAAGCCAACAGAGCTTAGCTTTCTAAATTAAGTCTTTTCTTTTTGGAAATTAGATTTAGGCTTATGAATCCTACCGATACTTTTTAAAAAGATTACTTCAAATCAAATATACTGCTATACTTCCTCTAGCACGAATTAGAAAAATTTTCAATAAAAATAATGAAGAAATGGATTAAAATAAGGAATAGCATCAACCTTGTTCTTCTGTTCCCTAACCCTGAAACAAAAATGGAACGTAATATTTCTCCTTGATTTCTTCCCTAACTAGTTCTTCCTTCTCCACCCTTAAAAATCAAAAGCACCAAGTAATTTTCATATCTTGTACTAAATATGTCAGCTATGGCATTGTAAAACCTATCTGCTACTGATACTCTCTAAAGTCAATGGTGTAACTTATTTTCAGGTCAAAGATTTACCATTGGTCAACTACAGATTTATCAAAATAAATTGCGTAAGATATCCCATTACCCTTATGTTTCACTTGCTCCATTTCTGATGTCTAATAATATACTGCTAATACTATTATAGTCTGGATTACAGTCTAAAAAGTACTCAGTCAATCTGATGGTGGGAGAATAACATGTTTTGCCAGTATTTGTAGGTATTCTTATTATTTTTTTGTGAAAATAAGTTCTTCTACAAAGGACTAGGGATTTTTCTTTTCTTTTTTAAACTTCTGCATCATATGCAATGTTTTCCTAAAAATATCAGCTTTTACAGCTGTAATCGACTTCACAGTTAAATGAACTCCTCCTTCATTCAAATCATTTCAATAGTTCAGTAACTTTTTCCCCATTATACAATATATGCAACTAAAATATTATTTAATAAATCATAACTAGAGCGGCTGCTAAAACTGCGCGTCCAAGATTAGGAAGCTGCTATAATTATCTTGTACGGCTAAATAACAGAACGTTTATTTTACTACTTAACCTAATTTTGCCTATCAACATGTGCTGCAGAAAGAATCTATGCCTAAGGTGAAAATATTCTAAGTTCTGGCTGGGAGTGCTTTTATTCTAATTACATTTGGCTGTTCCTGCCAGGAATAAATATTAGCATGGTGTTGGAATCTTGTATCTGTATTTTCCATGCACATGTCTGCATATTCTGTACTTAAAGTTATAAGAAAGAGACTATGATATCAAAGCAGTTTGATTTTCCTCACCACCTCCATCCCTTTCACTGAATACCACAATGACTGGCATGGCCCAACTCGCACGATTAACTTCTTCAAAATTGTGTAAATGCCATTTCATAAATCACCAAAATCACAGAACAAGCTACAGCAACATATTTAAAGTGTAAAAGCTAAAATGGATTCCTTCCTCTTCTGGATTTCTTCTTCACACTAAAAAGTTAATTGTCTTCCATTTTGTTATCAAGTCACTAAATAAACTGCACTGGAAGCCATGAATTCTGTGTTTTAAGCCAAGTCTGTCAATAGTTTTTGGAATAAATTAAGATAAACAACCACTGCTAGTGGTCCTTCCCAGTCTTTGCAGTCTAGAAAAATACCTAGAGATCTTAGACTTAGGGAAGTCATGCTAGGGGAAACTAACAAAAAAAACAAACCACCACTGTGGAAAGCACTTCCAAAATGAAAAATGCCAGCATCCCATACATCTAGTTTAAGTCTGAAGGCTAGATCTCTTCATGATATACCTTATAATTAAACATTTACTTAGGATAGATAACCCAAATCTGACATTCTTCTTCCAACCAGAAAAGAGACACTGCTAAGAGTGACAGAAAAGCATGGAGGATCAGAAGATTATTTAAAAATAAAAACATCAAAGTAATACTACAAGTCTCTTCGGAATACCTTTCACTCAGCAGGAAGCAAAGTACTTTAACAGTGCATAATACAATCCCTGTATAGTGCAGAGATCACTTCAAATCCATTCACACACAATTCATGATACAATTTGTGACAGGGAATGAAGAATACTTTACGCTATTAAAAGCAAAGCAGAACTCATGACTGCTTCAGAAGATAAGCACGATCACAATTTCTCAAGGAGGTCCTCAGCATCTTTCAGCGTAAGGTTTATTATCAAGTCATTCCAGTTTCTCCAAAATTCTTTCTTCCGTCAGCGAATAATGTCACATTGTCACTACCATCCCTTACATGCCAGCTGCCAAAGCAGGTTACCAAAATTCATTTCCTCACTTCACAAAATTTAAAGAAGACATTGTACACTGTGTTACACTATTCGTATATAATTACAGAAGCTTGTGATTGCGAACCCAGAAAACTTTGCATGTTTCTTTATTGTGAAGATTTGGTTTTGTCACTCACAGAAGTTATTTTTGAATTGACTGAAGAATGTCAAAAATAAAACCTTCAGTATTGTTTACATTTATAAATAGTATTTTAGAACTCTAGTTTGTCTGCTGGCTCCAGGACAGGAATAGCTGATTTGGGGCTTCTACAAGTTTAGGTTATTATTTTGTTCTGAAGCCTGAAGTTCTAAGAAATCATATGCTTTTTGCCTTTTCTTCTGTTTCCTGTCTTTCACATACAGGGCACCATTAGATGTTTTTAAGTTAATTATAATGAATGTGCTAGCTTATGAAGATTTTAGGTCTGCTGCAGAATTGGAGTAAAAAAGAAAACAACAAACTGTCCCTACAACAAGAACAAAATAGAGTTCTGAGTTTAAATCTGAACCTTCCTGTCTGAAACCTCTGTTCATTTGGCTTCTTTCTTCCAAATGCCTGGAGGCCTTGCCTTTAATAACTACTACTATAGTTAGTGTTTCTTTGGCTACTGGTCAATTTTAATTTTCCTTAAAAACTGCAGTGGTTACACCCATACTGAAGTCTTAATGAACTCCCTCTTTCAGATTTGCATCTTTCACTAAGAGCTCAGAGTGAAGTTGCAGTGCCAGGATGCTAGACATGACCAGTTTCATTTTAGATTAAGAATCAGCCATGGGGTTTAAAACAAAACAAACAAACAAACAAAACACAGCTGTTTTGTAATGCAAATGAGGGAAAGATGTAGTTGATCATTTAGGCAAATTCTTATCCACCTTGGTTGAAAAAAAAAGTTTACTTAGCACCACAGGATTTGGAACTACTGTACATAAGATACTGTTCTGATGCTGAAAAAGAAAGTAATAGGTAGATGGTGTCTTTCAGAATAAAATCTAATTTTGAACTTCTGAAAGGATTGCAAATCCAAGAAATGCTCTTGTTGTTCTTTTCCTTTAAATATGTCTATTTAAAACTTGGGATTTGTATATATTTGATACAATGCATCATACAAAAAATTATTTATTATACCTTTGAACACCAAGGTCCTTACCTGAATGTCTACTTGAACTCATGGCTACGAAGAGATAATCCCCTCTACTTGCACAGCCACTTGCATCTGTATGAACCTCATACACCCATTCACATACGAACTGCATAATGGTAAGTAAAGTAACAGCAGTTTTTCCAAAAAACCCCAAAGAATCAGCGATTCAAAGTTACTGTTCCCATATCAATAGTAATTTGGTCCTCTTATGCACATGTACTATTATACAGTTTATCAATGTTAATGCCATAACAATACACAGGCATGACATACTTACGTTTGAGGAATTATTACTTTAAATTGCATGAGTTTTATGTGGGTAAATTTCAGCTACAACATTCCAGTGATGTAGTCTCTGTATTTCATTTATTCCAGAGTTTCTCCCAGTCAATGTCTAACTGTCTGTATTGGCTAATGTCAGGGCTGTCCATAGCATAAATAGGAAGTAAGTTCATGCGTAGCACAACTAACAGTTTGGTTTCCAGTGGACTTCTATGCTGTGTGTTAAAGCCAGAGCATGAGTTCCCTTCTTAAACATCAGAGAAACCACACACGAAAGATGTTCTAAATGCCTTTGCCAAAGGAAAAGCTTCAAATGGTGTTCAAGCCTTGTAAGACATCAGAGAATACATTCAGGACACAAATCTTGAATGAAGAGAGTTTTTTTCTGATGTTTAATAAGGCGTGAATTCTGACTGCCTGGGATTAGAATATTCACAATCTTTTTCTCTCATACTGATTCTCATATACCTAAAATAGAGTTACACGGGGCCTTCAGGTGGCAGTAACAGACTCTACCTCTTCTAACTGGCTATATTAATGAAACCATAGGAACTTAATATTTTCAGGACTTCCGCCCCTCTGCCAAATCTGTCTGAAATTGGCCAACAGGCTCAAAAAAGTTTATAGGGCAGAAATGGCAGACACCCGTACACACAGACAACTTGATCATATTAATTTTCTTAGAAAAGAAAACTGATCGTCTTAGGAAATCAGACTAAATAACTACAACTGTTTCCCACCATACAAAGTATCTAACATGAAATTATGGTTCAACGGAAGCTGCTGGCAGAACTTACAGTCTGGAACGGAACCAAGATCTCACCCTCGGTCTGTGCAGAAAATTGCAGCATTTCCAAAAAAATCTTTGATTAACCTGAACACTTAAAAAAAAAAAAAAAGTTAAACTCATAGATCAGCACAGGCAATTCACATAGATGAACAGGTTTTCTTTAAACACTTCCTGAGTGAGAACAAGCACAAGAAGCTTCATGCCATTAGCTAATCATTTGTCCCAGTCACTGTCGTTACAGTTTTTAGAACTAGCAATCTTCCACTTTCTTCACCATTAGATCACACTGGTGCAGTCTCAAAGACAGGATCATTTCAAAGAAACTTCTCTAAACCTGAGATGCCAGAGGAGAGTATAAGTAACACAGTCACAGGAAAAGAAAAAAAAAAGATCTAATGAAGGAACATTTTTAAAAGCAACACAAACATGCTAGTCCTAAGGAAGCTTCAAAAAAGAACTCATTTTAAGCAGTTATCAAGCACAGAAAATCTTAGTCCAAAAGTGAAAAGTTTCAAAATGTAAGAAACAAAAGAAAACAGTTTATAATGGAAAACATGAGGCAATTTCCAATTGCAGCACTTTTCAAAGGTTCTTAGTTCTCCCAGCTTCCAGCTTTACTGGAAAGCAGGGGTTGCTTAATACCACTGAAAATATCAGAAAAATTCTTTTTAGTCTAAGTTTAGAGATAGAAGCATTTTTTTCAAGGATCCAGAGCAGGAACCTGTTAGTCTTTACAGTTTAGTTTTGGACATGTTATGTATGTATTGTCCACTTTTTATGCAGTACTGACACCGTAAAATTTAAAAGTATCCATCAGCTAGTTTTATTTTATTTTTTACTGGGAACTTGTAATATAGAGACAAAGGTCTAGGAAATTCTGGTAGTTTTGCAGGAAGTAATCTTGCTCAGTGGGTGGGAAAAGAAGGCAAAAGATTCAACACAGGGACACAGACGGTCAAAATACCAGAAGATGATGAAGACTTGTCTATATTCATCGGGTACAGCTGAAAATATAGAAGTCTTAACACCATTTCCTATGTTAGAAAAGGCTATTGTACTCCTCCTCTCTCATCCAGTTGGAATCTAAAGATTATTGCAAAATGCAAGTCTCAGGATAGGGTCTATTTTTCCAGCAACCACTTACCCTCGTGTATTATCCAACCCAAATGCAATATTAAAAAAAAAAAAACAAGAAAAAACATTATTGGTGTATGTCCTTGCTGTTCTTTTTTCTTCCATCATGTGATTTATCAGATACCTCTGAACAGATTTTTCTGTTCTTGTACACGGAAGAGAGAGAGAGGCAGAGAGAGAGAGCGAGCGAGCGAGAAAGGGAACTTGCTCCCAAAGTTCTCTGCCTAGCATGGTTTCCTAGTAAAAGTTACTCAACGTTTGATTTGATGCCTATCTACTGTAAAGCAACTGTCTCTTATGCAAGGATAGTAAACTGTTATAGGACAAAAACCCTGCAGCACAATGCAGAAATGCTGTTGTTTACGGTTACTTGAACTGTTACAAGAATTATTACTTATGTTTTTTTTCCTCCCCTGGCCTTGTCATAAGGAAGGCTCAAAAGACTGGGCACCTCTTGACAGAGTCAATGCAGGTATCTCAAACACTATGTTCTCTGTTGTCACTGATGTCAAGCACCACAAGGAAAAACTCATTGGAAAGAATCTGACATTAACAAATAGTGACCTGAGCGTCACCTGCATCCGGAGCCTCCACTACTCCTTTCCAAACATAGCAAAGATAATGTTTTCTACTCAGAGAAAACCAAGTTAAAGAACAGGGCTGTGTAAATGACAAAATTCAAGCCATTACAATAACCGCAAGCCAATATATAATTAAAACCAGAGACTGGTAAATAATTATCTTACGGAGGAAAGAAGATATTCCTCAGCTGAACATACAACTGCTTTAGTCCAAAGATACTAGTAAGATTGCTCTGTGCTCAGACAGCCTGTCCCATAAAACACAGCCCGGACAACTAGAAAAACAGTAACATTTATTTACAATTCACTTTTGTCAAAACAGCTTCTTTCGGACCCTCAGGTCTCGACGCTAATTTTACCTACTGGTACGGCGTTTCACAGTGTAGAAGAGGGCTTACACATACAAGAACACTGATAGCAATGCATTCTTCTGGATTCAGAGAAGGTAAATACTAAAGAATTGCTACATGTCCACCATGCCACCTGCACCACAGCCTCTCAGCAAAGTTCTCTTCAAAAGAGAGTTTCACTCCTTCTGCAAGGGCTTCCTTACGTTTCAGACAAACGAGTAATATCCTCATTTTGGAACCTTCCTCCCAGTATATATGGGCATACACAATATAGAAAAGCTGTAACGATTCTTCTTCGGCAAGGGGTAGTCCTCTCTCACAAACCGACTGCAGTTCTTTGAAAGAGTGCAAGAGTTCAAGTATAAAGGTGATCCAGTTGACAGTTTCCTCAAATTTCCTAAAGCCTTTTCACAAAGTCTCCACTCAAAGCTCTTATGGAAACTTAAGCAGCTGTGACACCAAAGTCCTTGCATGGGTAAGTAACTTAAAAGATGGAAACAGAAGTACGAGTAACAAATATGTTCTAACAGTTGAGTTAAGTCAGCAGTACAGTTCAGTAGTGATCTCTGATGTTCAAAATATTTGTAAATGACCTGGAAAACAGGCGAGCTGTTAGGTGACAGTTCACTGATGATATGTTATTTAGACTAGTAAAGACAAAGTCCGAATCTAAAGAGCAGTAAAAGGACTGGGAAGCAGATTAACTAGGTGATAACATGAAAGATGAGATTTAATATAGATAAATATAAAGTAATGCATGTGGAAAAAACAATCTGAACTTAAAATACCAAATGATGGACTCCAGGTAGAACATTCAGCTAATCTTTTGAACACTGAAATAAAGGAAGATCCTCTTTTTAATACCAAGCCTCTATGTAAACACTCGGCTGTAGGTACACAGAGAAATGATGGCCATACCAATTTCAAAGCAAAACCACAGTTCTGAAACTATGATCAGACTTGTCTGACATTAACTTACACTGGGTGGGACGTCTGAAAAAGGATCCCATCTGAAGGTGCGGGGACCCTGCCCTCTTCTGCAAGTACAAGTGATGTGCCAGCGATCACAGTGATATTTTTAAAAATGCACAGTGCTGCAAAATGTACTGTGCTTGCTTCCCCACCCCAGCTTAAAATACAATCCCTCTAACAATATCAACAGTTGCCTAACTTTACATTTCACATACCACCACGATTTGGATGGCATGTGCTTGTCTGAAAGAGAATTTGAGACACTAACAGTTCCTGAGATGAGGTAGATGGAGAGGAAAAGGAAGAGGGAAAGGGAAAGGGAGAGAGGTTTAAGGAGCGTGAAGGAAGTAAACTGAGAATTAAGGTTACCAAGTGCCTCTATTCATTCCTCTGTGGGGATGAAACAGTATAAACAAAAAAAAACCCCAAACCTAAAATACTACTTACTTTGGGAAACAGCATATGTCAAAGTTTTCAAAGTAGGTAGAGTCAAATAAGGACACAATTGGCCCAAAGACTCCAGCAGTAAAATTCCTGTGCAACCTTAACTACTCTTTAAAGTTGCTCCCTCTCTGGCACTGCCATTTGTTCTCTGCATAATGATATGACTCTGCATAGGTAGAGCTGGCTCTACGATCAGGGGAGAAGAGGGCAAGCAAAATGTATCTCCAAAACACGGTGGTGATTTAAGAATACCCTCTACAGTAGTGAGGATTTAATCACAACTCTTGATTGCCTATAAATTAAAGTCTCACACCAATTACACACACTGCGGTTAAAGCCTCGTGAATGAAAGTATTTTGATCATTAGCCAATACCGCTGCTTGATTGTATTTACATGTTTGTTTTCAAACCACAGCAGTATTTAGCGATCTGAAATATGGCTAGCTCTGTTCAATGTTTTTTGGGAGTTTTAGGGGGGGCAGAGAAGAGAAGAAGCCAAAATACAAACATTTTACTTGATGTAACATTCTTCTCTTTTGTTTGTCCTTTGAGAGAGTTATAATACAAACCTGAGCTGATACTCAAGGTGTTTCTATTGATGGTAACATGGAGTAAAAGTATCAGAGAGCACAACTAGAAAGACATATTTAAGTTCTGTAAATTCACACTCCTCAACACGGAAATCCACAGTCCTTGAAACAAGTTTCCATATGGGCAGCAGCAACAAAAGCATCTCTCTATGAGCCCACTAAACACAGAATAAAAACCCAAAGGGATCTCTTCTAAGCATGAGAGGTAAATTCAGCAGCTATAGTCAAAGTCAGTCCTTGGCTACTTCACTGGGAATTCAAACAAGACTTTTCAGAATCATAGCACAGAAGGGACTCTCAGACTGAGGATCTGTATATTAGGAATTCAGAGCCTGTATATTAGGAATTATCTGTATATTAGAATTATCTGTATATTAGGAATTCAGGAAAATCATGAGAGATGCTGACATGCAGGAAAATGAAATCAGAAATTACTGGGGCTTCTGACCCAGGCAATAAACAAGCTTAAGATCACTGGGATTTGAGCAGCAATACTATTGAGCAATACAGAAGAACAGATGAAAACTACAGCCTACTCCCTCCATCCAGTCAAGTTACAAAGGACATCATCCTAAAGCCTGCCACCCAACACTGATGATGGTCACTATGTGTGCTTTCCAGATGCATACGCAGGGTTGCTAGAAAAAAATACAAGCAACAAAATTTTCTTCTTTTTTAAGCTCCTTTTCAAGAGTGAACTGAGATGCATATTCTTTCTTTATTAGCAACAGTGCTATGGAATAAACTTCATCCCTACTAGAACTTTACGTTTCTCAGTGAACCCAGGTAAACCTTCAGGCATGAAGACACATTCAGACTCAAGGAAGTTGCTCTTCCAACATACACTTAGAAGATATACGAGATGGACAAGTCATCTGATAGGTACAAGAAATGTCAACAAACAAAACCCTGAACATCATCGCTTTAGTTTCAGAATTGTTCTTTCCAAACGTTCAATAGTTGTTCCCTATGAGTTCTTGGAAGCCAACTTTGCTCTCTCAAGTGTTAGTTTTGAATGTT